AAAAATACCTGCTTTCAAAACTTGCTACGATGAGACAAGTAGTGCTGTGAACAGGTCTGTGAAAGCCAAGTTAATGCAAGCTTTTATAGTTTTCTTGGGAATATTTACATCTAAACCGTTTTAGTTTTCCGGTCGCCAGCAGCAATTCTGCTATGGCTTGTTGTCGTGTACTGAAGGTACGAAGGTAAGACTGTTCCAGGAACCAGCTGCAATCGTTATGTCCTCTCTACGTGACTGTATCTCTGGTTGTGTGTCTCTGGGAATGGATGTCAAAAAGCAATGGAATGCCTTGAAACACAAGGAGAAAGATACAGCACTCTGAATTTCAGAAGTGAAGCAGTGAGGCTCTAAGAGTAGTACAGGCCTGGCTGTAAGGTCTCTGAGTTGGGGATATTTGGGGTTAAGTGCACCTCTTACCTTTAAACAGCAACATTTCTAAATGTCTCTCACTATCACCTAATAGTTGTTGAATGAGAGCAATGTGCTTGCAGCATCAGGTGATTTCAGGCTAACCCTTTCCAGACATGAGCTTATCTGTGCTTGGAAGGTGGAGCTGAACTACCTCTTCCAATTCCTTCATGGGCTATTGCTTAGATAGCAAAGCTGTCTGGTTAAGCTGTATGCTTGCTAAGGTAGGTTAGGTGAAAACTAACATTCAGTTTGTAGAAGCTGCAGTATTGACTAGCTGCATTTAACTTAGCAGGAAACTGCCTGAGCTTTGCTTGACAATAAACTAATACCTACAGAATTTTAGACCCTTTTTTAGCCTTCAAGGGTTGAATCCTGGATGCTTTCTCTGGTGTGCAGCCTCTACCATTGGGGGAGGCTGCAGTCCAGAAGACTGAATACCAAGCTCCTGAGGTTTTACGTTATGTGGATCCAAGCTGTTCTGTAAATCCAGAGTCTTGGAAAGTCTCCTGGGAGAATGAAGGAGGGAGAAGATGACATCAGCTGGAAACTTCCCAACTCATTTTGCATCTCACATGCAGACTTCAAGCTTATAAAATTTGCTGAATTTTAAACTTGGATGAAGTGAACTTCTTGGTAAATTTAATATCTGTTTCTGGGCAGGCTGACTAGTCAAGGTGTTTGGACTGCGTAATGTTACAAAAGAATGTGAAGCTGTTTCCTTACCAGATAGTAGCCTGCATAGTTGGCGGGGCTCACGCATTTCCAACGTAGGCTGTTAGCTCCTACTTGCCTTGCACTGTAGTATGCTAAATATAGGCTGCCAAAGTCATCTGACCTCGTGGACCTGTAAATTAGGCTGTCTTGAGGAATCCTACAAACTCCATAGGAATGCATAAAGAGTCTGCCTGTAGGTGGTTGTACAACTGTGCACAAAAGCATAGCGCTTAACCAGTAGATCATGAACGTGAAGGTCTGACTGTTGTGCTATTTCTGCTACAGGTTGTGATCCAGGCCTTGCTAGACCTTCACCTGACTTGCTTCAGCAAGTGACAAAGCTATGAAACTGGCCTGAGGAGGTGAGGGACAGAGGCTAAGGATCTTTGCTCTTTACTTTAGAAAAAGCTTTAAATCTTAAGGAAGTCTTTGTGGATACTCTGTAAGACTTGAAGAATGTCTTGACAGAACCTGTCCTCCATTCCACCTGCCTGACTGTGAGAAGCAGCCTCACTTCCTCCCTGCCATAAGACTGCTCGGATTCGTGGCAGGCTGGCTACTGTGAGTAACAGGTGCTGTGACAAAAAGGGCTTTTTTTCTGTGAAGAACTTTATGAGCTGTAGGTACCTGCTGGGTCTTGGACTGTGCTGATCTGTGATAATGCAGATAGGCACTTGAAATGGTGGATGGGCAACTACTTGGTGCACTGAAGGTGAAGCTGATGCATGAGTCCCTGGCACTGAAGTCAGGCTCTTTGTTACATAAAACAATTAATCCTAGTCAGTATTTCAAATGCTTGAGGGCATTGTAACTACACCGACAGGTAGAAATACAGATGGCTGCAGATCTCCTTTCCTGCTGGGCTCTGCAGGATGTACTCCTCTTTCTGTGGAAAAAGCAGACTAGAACAGATGACGCAGTCTTGCTTGCCCAACTGCAAAAAGTCCCCCAAGTCCCATGGAAGAAAGCCAGTGCCAGTTAACATGATGAGGAGGTGCTCTGCTGAAAGGATTACAGCCTGAGACAACTTAGATTGCTAGGCCATCTGCTGTGACACTTCAAAGCCTACCTCTTTCTAGCAATAGCGTAAGACTTCAGCAAACTGATCCTGCCTACTGTTAAGCGAAAGTTCAGCAGTCATGAGCATTGTTCCTTGTATAGTTAGCTAGGAGGCTGCCCCCATTAAGGAGGACAAATAGTTAGCTTCTAACTTGGCCTTCAGCTGCAGAAAAATAGCCACATAGCAGGGCATGTCAGCTGTGACTGCCAGGGGAGGGTTCTGCCATTGCAGATGAGGCAGTATAGCACAGCAGACCTGAGAATTTCCACGGGACCCATGACTGCAAGAACACACTCAAGTAGATTGAGGTGGATTCCAGCCTTCACAAACCTCTGCCGTGCTTAAAAAGTGCAAGACATGCTAGTATGATATTATTACCTCCCAAAAGAATTGGCGAGGAAAGTCACTAACTTCATGCAAGTGGCTGCAAGCTCCATCTTTGGTCTTACCTCCAGTTGTTCTGAAACCTTGATGCAGAGTTTTCATGTTGTAAGCAGATTCCATCATATTCTTTAAGCTCTCTTTTGGAAGGGTTTTGTTACCAGCTTTTGAGATCTACTGTGCAACCAGGCTTAAGCTGTTTCAGCAAATGAATTCATTTTCATAATGGCAGCCTGGAATTTGGCTAGCTGCAGATCTGGCACTACTTGTCTCATACTAATGCTTATTGCACATGGGCAAGGAAGAGCTGTCTTTTCCTTTTGGAAACAGGAACGGATTTGTCTGCAGCTACTGTGGCGTCCCAGGGTTTGATTTGCTCTTTACTCTGTGCGGCCACATTCTCCTGTCTAGCTGAACTGCAAATTTTCTGAAGCCATCTCCTGTTGCTAATCTTACCCTGTCTTCTGCCTATTCACTTTGTGTAATTCCAACAGAACTCCTTGTCTGCTGAGTTATTGTAGCATTGCTTCTTGCTGTTGTGTGCGCTCCTGCTACGTTGAGTCTGAGCCAGATCTTGTGTAGTTCAAGCTACCTGATGTATGAAATGGCAAGCTGTGCCATGCTCGTCCTGCTCTTTTGCACTCTTAAGAGAGCATTTAAGTGCCTAGCTTCCAGTTCTTGCTCACTTGCCTGTCAAATCTGAGATCTCATCTGTTGGCAACCACTTCTGAGCATTAGCTGGGAGAATGCATCTAACTTCTCTCTTAGGAGACAGTAGTTTAGATCGCCCCTTTCCCAAAATGCCTAGGCTAAAGCATTATTCTCCCTACTTCATAAGGCGGTCCCCAAGGTGAAGGGCAATACTACCACAGTTCTGCAGGACTGCTACAGGCGGAGGGCTGTCTATAAAATCCTAGTACTCTCATGATGAGTTTGTGACAAAGACTGGTAAGAACTTAGCCCTGTTCTTAGCCATTGTCAAAGGCAGACCTTTGTAAGTAGCTTTAACTTGAAGCTCTCACCTGTAATTCTGAACCTTTGAACAAAAGAAGACTTCAAAAGAAGTCCCTTGTCCAGCTGAAACATAAACCGCAATTCCACAAGGAATACTGATGGACAAAGAGGTTCTTACCCAAACAGGATTGCTTTGCTAAGATTACATGTTTCATTTAGCCACTTAAAGACTCTGAAGCTGGAGCTAAGCAGTAATTCTAAAACTAAAACACTTCTAGTTAATGTGCTGCTTAGCAGTAGTGATGTTTCTCTGTCTAGCAGTCGGAGGAACCTTTGTCCTTGCAATGGAAACACTTTGTGGGTTAATCCATTCTTGTGCTACTAGTTCAAACAAACAAAAACCCTCCTCTCTTCTCTGAAGAGGAGAGCCATGGATCTTTGGGACTTTCTGCTGCTGTTGTCAGATATTCCTACTTATCATACAATTTGTTGCAGGCTGTCAGCTCCCTCTGCTACAAAACCAGAGCAGAGAATGCAAGTGAAGTTGCTATCCTATTTATGCAAAGTTAAGTAGCCGCTAGCTATATGGAGTAGTTGGTCTATGTCAAAGTGTGAGACTTGAAGGTGGGGAAATGTACCAAATTGGCTATGAAGTTGTTTGTTTGTTTTTTTTTTTTTCCCTCCTGCTGAGTCAGTTTCAAGGAATTACAGACTTCCCAAACCCTTGTGCGTCTCTTCCTAAAATAGCCACTTGCTGGTTCTGTTAGCCTCTGTCTTCCCTAGGCACTGAATGATACCTTTGGAGTTGGGAGCATGGGAACGAGGACCTCCCCAAGCAAAACCCGGTGTTTTCATTGGCCTTAGGACTCCAAAAGGGAGATGTATGTAGGCACTGGTGCTGGAGTGTATGATCTGTCACTGTCTTGTAGTGCAGTGATGGCAAATCGGTCTGAGTGCTACAAACACATTTGGAAGTTCATGGACTGGATGGGAAGTCTCTGATGCACATTTGCCCTCCTTCCTCTACTATAGGAGCCTCCAGAGATGAAGACTGACTGCATTCCAGTCAACGGCACTGTTGCCATTTTGCCTGAAGCCTGTCCTATAAGTAGGTCTCTTGATTTGCGTACTCGTTTTGTTTACAGAGCCTAAGTTGGTTCAGTCTCACCAGGAACTGTTGGTTCAGCAATACTGCTGCTTCCTCATGAATAGAAATCAAGTTGCGCCATGCTAAGGGGAGGTACATTGGTGGTGTGCTTTCTCTTCAGCTTGTGGAACAGTAGAACAACCTAATGCTCACAGCCCAGACATTAGGGGATTGCCCTTGTGTTGTGGAAAAGGGTGGTCCTCAGAGCTGCAGAAATAAATAGCCTTTCTAATATATCGGTGAAGCCTGTCAGTGGTATCTTTGAGAATACTGTGCTTTACAGTGAATCTGTTAACTTATTAAAAACTTGCTGTTTTTTGCTCTCTAATACAGGATCTCAGTCTACCCAATGGCACACCTGTGGACACTTCTAGTCCAGCCTCTTCCTCATCTCTCCTCAACAGACTGCAGCTGGATGATGACTTTGATGGGGAAACTAGAGACCTCTTTGTTACTGTTGATGAACCCAAAAAACACGTGTGCACAATGGAGACGTATATCACATACAGGGTTACAACAAAGGTACAAAGCAACATTGTCTTTTCCTAGTAGTTTTTTCTTTGGGAAGTTTTTTTTTAGGGTGTGTTCTGGATGTCTGTGCCTTGCATTGTAGTTCCTTATCTTAAGGATATTGGTGTCTTCCAGTAACTTCTGAATGTGTTGAAGGTGTGACTTCTCTTAGCAGAACTGTTACTACTACAGTGTAGGAAACTATGCAAAACTTTGAATGTTGCAGCTTAAACTTTTGTCTCTGACTTAAATAGAACTGTTTGTGGACTTGCAAGGCCAGTTTCTTTCATTAACTTGAAAGTTTGTTCATATAAAGGAATCTGACACCCATTTGGTTTGAGTTACCTCCCCTGAAAGGGAATGTGCCTTGTTCTTGATTCACTGTTAATCACCTCCACATTTTCTGTCTGTCCTTTTCTGAAGTGCTTTAAGCTTGTTGCCTTCAGTGTTTACCACACTTCCTCTATCAGCCACTTACCTAAATTGTGATCTTGATCCTCAATTGTAAACTAGCTTCCATGTGACTGTTGGTACAGAAGACTGTGTAGCTCCTGCTAAAACGTAAAAAGAATGCTACTGTGTACTGAAACAAATACGCTAGAGATTTTTTCAGCGTGTGTTGTAGTTCAAGCATTAATGCAATCTAATTACACTAATAAGAAAAGTGATCTAAAAAGTCCTCTGCACTCACAACTGGAATGTTGATTTCTGTTGAATAGCTCCTTCTCATTAGCATCTGCGTCTAGGTGATGGTAACATCTGCTTTGGGCACTTGTAGTTACCGAAGGCAAAAAGTGTTCACTAACTTCACTAGGAAGGTACTTGATCCACTTGTCCAGAAAGATTAACATTCCTCTGGCCTACCTAGATGTCACTGTATACAGGAGATAATATTTTCCTTTCAGAAGCAGAAGACTTTACAGGCCACAAGTAATCTTTTTCAGAATGTCTACTCTGAAGTTCCTCTTTCAGGCTGCACAGGAGAAAATGTGGTTTCTCTAAAATGGTAGCTACCTCTTACTGCACACTTAATGTAGGCCTGTCTTCTTTGTTGCTCTAGGTGTCTTAATCTTGCAGGAAATGCTGTATCTTAACCACTAGAAAATGCTAGGAAGTAGTATAGGAAATATTTCTACTTGGAGCAACAGCCTTCAGCTGTTACACAATCAGATGGAGTAGGAAGCGCAAAATGAGACAACTTTCCACAGGCAAATGGCTAAAATTGGCTGAAGATTTCTCCCTTAAATTAAGACCTGGTTATTTTGTCAAGATAAAATGTCTCTAGATGGTGGCACCCTAATAATGCTTCTTTGCTTGGAAACCTGTGTTTATACCTTCCTTCTTAAAGCAGAGCTCTGGAACGTGGGTATTTGCTGTATTTAGATCAGATGTATTACTCAACAATGTCTTTTTTTAAATTAAAAAAACTCTCATCCTGTACTTCTAATTTTGCATATCCACCTGCCTGTCTCTTAATACTTGTTTTATCTGAGATCTCACGGTAGCACGTAAATCTGCTATATCATAGCATTACAATACTATTGTGAAACAGTGCGTAATTTATTCGTGTCAGTCATCCTGAAAGCCTCACCTCTTTGGGTTTATTATTCTTGTAATATTCTGGCTAACCTCTAGAGTCAGCACCTCTAGCACTATCTACCGTGGTTTAAAGAAAGACTGTTTGGAAGACTAGCAGTATTAATGGTCTGACTTATTCTTGCCGTACAAACGAGGCCTCTTTGAGGCCACGGTAATTGCCCAATCAGCCATTGTTGCTGAAAGAAGGAATTAAACATGGCAAAAAAGCTGCACAGGAATAATCCCTAGACAGTGATGAGGATGAGTGATGCTCTCACCTCCAGGTTGTAGGTCAAAGTTCTGCAGCAGACCTTGCTCCTGGCATCAGTGTAAGGCCATACCTTCCCCCCACCTCCCTTGCAGGCTTGCATGAGAGGAGTTTGAGACCTGCAAAGCGCTGAAAGGGTCTCTGTGGTGGGTCTGGAAGAGGAGGCAGGGATGGCTGCTTTTTTTCTTTCTCCACTGAAGAATGCTACTGGAACCTCAAAGGTTTGGATAAACTGAGTTATGCCAAAGACTTCCTTGCTGTGAAAAGCAACGTCACTAGGTGGAAGAGGGGAAAGTAACTGCTAGTGCTATAATGTGCGCTGGTGGTTGTGACTGGACACTGGTATAGGGAAGGCTGTAATCTGACCACAGTTTTGGTTTTCTGTTGTGTGGGGTTTTTTTCTTTCTTTAGACAGTTCTTCCATTGTAATAGCAAAAAAGAGGAGTCTTGCAATGTGCCCCAGACTTCTCATCTACTGATAGCTTTGTCAGCAGGTGGTGGCTGGGGAAGGGTCCAAAACAATGGCTTGCAGGGAAGCTGATAAGAAAGCTTAGAGTTTAGTTGGTGCTGCTTGTGCCCGTTTTCCCAGCTTCCTAGTAAGAACCAGGTAGCATTCTTCATTTCATACTCTGGTTTCTTCTTGCCAACAGCAGTTTTCTTATTCAGAGAGGCTAGTGAAACCAAAAAGGGGGGTGAAAGTTGTGCTGGAACTTAATTGGTCTTGGCTGTGATGACTGAGGTATCTCGGATGTTCTTGATGACACACCTTTGTGCTCTTCAGGTAGTCCAATGTGCAGTCTAGAGGGATTTTATCAAGCAGATCTTTCTGAGGAGGGAGGGGGGGAAATAAAGCTTACCCTTATGTTATGTAGTCATCTCTGCTGAGTGAAACGTAAGTGTACTTCTAACTTCACTTTTGTTGTACTTTCTAGGACGGCAAGGCCTTCTTCTGTGCCTTTTCCCATGGAGGTCTGAACAGCTGTGTGCCATTCCTCAGTGTCATGCAGTTGCTCTGCAGGCTTGAAGGGAGAGGCTTTCAAACCAGTCAATACTGAAGTGGAGGTCTTGTTTTCTTTCTCCTGTCCTTCTCTTCCTGCTTCCAGTGCATGCATTGGGTAGATTACCTGAGCACATGAAACAGCTTGATCCTTAGAGAGGAGCAGGTGTAAGTGCTATGGTCTGTTTTTCAAACAAGCTAAACTGTTTGAGGCAAACAAAACTATGAGCTGCTAAGAACACCAGCCTCGCTCCCTTCCTTGCTCTGCCATTTCCCTCCTTTTCTAGTTGAATATTTTGCTCCAAACTTAAATAGTAACATTGAGGGAAATCCACAATCAGGTGTAGTGAGTAGGAGGCTAGAACTAGGGTACAAAAATATTTTCACATAGTCATGACAGGCTAGCTTTAGGTTTGGCTACTAACTCCTTTCAGGAAAGATGAGAATCTTGCACAAGACCAAGACTTGGGTGATTGCCTTAACAGTGCTTCAAGTCAAAACTATTCAAACAACAGAGGTAAGAGTGTCTGTAACCCTGCCTACTTTTGACAAAGTACAACTGAGTCCAGAATACTGCAGCACTGACTTAGTAGAGCTGTGCTGGAGTCTTCAGTAAATCTCTGGAAATGTCTTGCCCATTATTTTTGGGAGGTTGAGATCTGCCACATAAGTTTATCAGCTTCCTCTGGGAGAGACATGTGTCCTTGCAAGATGAGATTTATGGATCCTACTGAGAAAGCAGGAGGAGTTCAACTTGTCAAAAACACAAGGATTTCACTTGCTGTCCGTGGACAGTGGCAAGACCTTCTTTCCTTTTGTGTGTAGTCTGGAAAAAATAACTTGTGGTAAGTTAATGAACAGTTTGATCTGAGATCCAAATTCTTTCAGCATTACTGAGGTGATGTTAAAACCTTGAAGGGCCCTTATGTTCTGTCCAAATAGTCTTTGAAAAGCTTATATGCTGTCTAGATTTGACAGCCCATACAGCAAACACCTAAATGCTGATGAAGGTGATGTATTTTCATTTGCATCCCTCTGAGGAACAAAACCTGATACATGGAAAAATTTGTAAATCTGCTTGTGATCTAAAGGCACTGGGAGCAGTTTGCTAGGGATGAGTGATAACTAAGTAAAGTTTGTGCACTGGCACTTACCCTGCTTTCCTACTTCTAGACTAAATAGTACCTATACAATTTTCCTTAACTGTTAGCAGAATACTGGTTAATAAGATTCCCAGTGCTAGCAGATGGGAAACTTTACCTTCATCCTCATGCTACAGGATAAGACACTGTAGTGTGTATGCATCCTGATTACTCTCATACATTTGCTGTCTGATCTCTTTTAAGAGGTCTTTGCCCAGTGACAGCCAGTTCGCAAAAACTCTCCCTACTACTAAATCGTTACTTTTTTTTTTGGTTTCAGGTCATCTCCTGCAAGGCTGAGATATAGCTGCCCTATTAACAGAACAAAGCAATCAGCACTAGTGGCTGATAAGCGCTGTCTACATGTGTGTGAATTATCTTGTTCTAGCATAATGCCATTCCTCTTACTTAAAACAAGTGAAAATGGTTCATATGAAATCTTCAAAGTTTCATCAACAATGTGGCTCTCTAACATGTTAAATAAGCTGGTGTTACTCTGAGGTGTAGCTGAGTAAAGCGCAGATCCACAGTGGATATCTAGGTCTTGCTAATCCCTCATCTACAAATAAAACTGCTCCATTGATGAGCATTCATTATGTTAGTCCATGGACTAATGTGGGTGTCTCTTACCATAGCTAGCAGGTCAAAGGAGGGAGGGAGGAGGTGAGCTTGATTTCTTCTTTTCTATCTCTCTATGCCTCTTTTCTAGAAGCCAAACCTTTTCATAGGTAATGCTACATTAGCATGCTGTTTATAGTATACTGGAGCTACTCTTCTGTTGACAGTGTGTTAAGACTGCTGGCTTGCCCCTAGAAAGAGATTTCTGGCATAGAACTTGTACAGGGCCCCCAGTGGGGATTGGTGGGAGTAATGTGCAGTCACTGAAGAGTTGGAGCCATTCAGAGAGCAAGTGAAGAGGTGGGTTGCATTTACTTGGCTCTGTCTAAATATGTGGCAGTCGCTCTCAGTCTGGAAGTAAATACAAAATCTCTGCTGGAATTTAGCAGGCAGTTGTAGTGGCTACAAGTAGCGAAGCAACCTAGTGCCAGTACAAAGGTAGGAGAGTTGGTACATTCCCTAGAATGCAGTGATTTTGGTGTCTGGCAGTAGACATGTAGTGTGTACTGGCACTGCAGCATCACCTTCACTGCAAGATGGTCTTGATACTCCAAGTAACTAAGTGTGGCTCTCCAGGCTTCTCTGTGAGCAGTGCTTCTCCGTGGGACATAATGATAAGGGCCATCTGCCTTCCAATCAGGGCTATTGCAAAACCGGGCTATTGCAAAACCAGGCTCTTGAGCAGAGACTCCTAATTGGTACACAGTTTCATTAGTGCCTTTTAGGCAGTTGCCTACATGCTGTGCAAGCAGCCTCACGCAGTTGGCTTTCCAGGCTATGGACTGTTCAAGATCTGGGTAAAATGTTTACCAGCAGTTTCTCTGCATGCTTACCTTCTGTCTCAAGCTTGTAATGGCAAGTTTAATTCCTTGCCCTAAAGAATGAAAACTTTAAAGATTTAACATAATGTACTGGTATCTGTAATCAGGTATACACAAACTTAATGTAAACAAACTCATTTCTTCCTCTGTGAAATTAACAAAAACAGTCCTTCCGTAAGCCTAGCAATAGCTTATGTTCTAACCTTTCAGCCTTGAAGGAGTATAATAAGCCTGTCACTTCTGGAATATAGGGCAGTGGTGAAACAGTTTTTCACCCACAGTTAGTGCATGTCATAGAATAAACAAGTCATTAGATATCTTTGCTTTTAATTCTTGATGGCTAAAATAGTCTCATTCTTGGAATGAAGATTTTATACAGTCTTCCCTGCAAACTTGTAACTACCAAGAGATTAACCTGGTGCACAGTACTGTCCTCTCCACAGACTCCTCCCATAAAGTTTATCTGAGCAGAACATGTAATGAAGTACAAATAGATCTTAAGTACACATCAACTTCAAGTAATCATTTTTCTTTTTGCTTGCTTTCCCACTGCTTGAAAGGCTGGAGGATCTTTCTCACATGCTGGCTGCAAACCCAGTTTTGGGGATGGAGTCCCTGTGCAAGGCTTGTCTGGCCTGACCATTGCCAGTGATGGCTGTACTGCATTTGCTGTGAAGCTCTGAAGTGAGAGGTTTCAGTGTACACTAAGCATATCCTGTTCTTCTTTTCCAGACCACACGAGCAGAATTTGATTTACCAGAGTATTCTGTCCGCCGGCGGTACCAAGACTTCGACTGGTTGAGAAACAAGCTGGAAGAGTCTCAGCCAACACATCTCATTCCTGTAGGTAGTAGGCAAGAACCTATTACAGACAGTTCTGTGTCTGTCTTTCAAAGGTGATGTTATGGTGACAGGCATTTTTAGATTTAAATACAGTACTTCATTCTCTTCTAGTGGAGTGGAAGGAGCTTCCTATTCTTGACTGATTTTGAAGCTTAGTCTTTTCTTGGGTGACACACCTGAGAGAAGAACTTTGGCAGCTTCCTGTAGGCAATATGCATGGTGACCACATTTGTTGTGGCATAAGTGGAATACACTTCATCTGTTTGTTCAGTTATTACATCTGGATTTCTGAGTATCTGAGGCTTATGAAAAGCCACACAGGTACTTAAGTCCTAGTCTCAGTCAGTTTTCAAGTTTGCCTTTTGAGCTGGTTTTAAAGAGTACTTTAAAACTGTTTGTGCTAACATTAAGTAGCACAGAGTTACAGATCTTGGCCTCTGGCTTGGTAGCTATTGCATGCCTTCAGTAGGCAGAAGTTTAGCTAATAAGATTAGCTAAAGTACTGCACCCTTTCTTGTCACTGAAGCTGACAGTCGTGAACACCTTCTGTGATATGAAGAGGTTGATACTGGTCTTCAGCAGTCTTTTTTTTCATGCTGTAGAAGATGTGTAAAGCTAGGAAGCCTGTGAGATCACCAGTATCAGCTCTTTTGAACAAAGAAATTAAAGAATTGTTGGGAAATAGCAATACCGCTAGCATACCTTAGCTTGCCCATCTGGGGTGGAGGGGAAATTTCTCTCCCTCCCTCAGCAAGGACTAGGCTATGTGAGAAATACTCAGTTAGGCTGTTCCAAGGTAGAGAGCTATTTAAGTCCTTAATTACTCTGAGACTTGCCTCTAAGTGGAATAATGTCTCAGTCTCTCAAAGATAAGAAATACTTCACAAAATCATGTGCCACCGCTAACTGGCAGCAAATATGTTTATTGAGGGGTAGGGAGAAAAGAGAGTGAGCTTGCTGGGGTAAGATGGAGACTTGAGATTAATGTGTTAGCTGCCCAGACTCTTTTCTCCCTCCCTGTTCTCTAAACAGCTGGAACTATCAAGGTTAAACTTCTACAGATTCTGGAGCGTACTAACAGGCTGCCAGTCCTGACTGAAGGCTGCAAGGCAATCAGTAATAGTGTAGTAGCAGAAGGTGAGTCACAGCCAGGGAATCAAACTGCTTTGCTGTGGCCTGGAATTCATTGCATACAGAATGTCAAATTTGGCACAAGTGACTCTAATACTGGACATGAAACTGGCTGCAGAACAAGGCACTCTTAAGTGCCTCTCTTCTAGAAAATCTGGAAGCATGAGGATGTGCTGCCCTCTTTTACGTGACTATGCATAAGTTAGCAGTTACGGAATTTCCTATTAATCTCCTCCATGCAGTGGTATGGCACAGAGACTGCTGAATGCTTTATGTATTTATTACCTAAGAGTAGATGGGGAATAGAAGTTAAAGGCAGTTTCAGGCACACTGTGACTCAAGTGTATTCTGAAAGGATATTTCAAGCCCAGCTAAGAGTATCTGTGTTTGTAACTGGAAATACTGCAGTCCCTGGAAGCCTTCTGTCTAACCAAATACTGAAAGATGGTTGTCTTCCTACTCTTGGTAGAGTGACTCTGCCTAAAATATTCCTGTACTAAATGATACATCTTCGCAGTGCAGTGAGTCATGATAGCCTACACTTAGGAGCCCAAACTAAACTGAATATGGGTTCGTTTTCATCTCTTTTGTTACTGATTTTTAGTTTTTCTTAAATGATCTGAGACTTATTCTGATCTGTTCTTTCAAACAACAGTAAAAATGCTCTCAGGTCTGTCTCTAGACTAGAAAGATAAACCTATCATGGCCAAGGATCTTGTCTTTGGATGGTAATGTTTGGATACTTGAAGACACTTCTGGCTGCAGTGAACTCTGCTTATATGTCACAGCAGGGAAGAGTAGACTATTAAGCTGGAAGACTGTAAGGCAGATAAGTAACACACAGTTCAAGCAGGTTATCAGTTGCTGGCTTTGTCTACTGACTACTTGGGATGGACCTCAAAAGGCCGAAAATGTAAAGGACTATACTGCTATAGCTAAAACCAGGTTAAATTACAAAAGTCTCTGTAGTAGAGATGCACCCTTCTGTGAGTCTCAAATGCTCAAACTTTAGCAATTATTCAGTGTCAGTTTGCGTGTGTTTGGTTGAACTAGGGTTCTTTAAACTAGTCTTCCAGCTTGTCCTTTTCTTCCTGCATATGGTGCTGAGGTAGTGACTTCCTAAGGTATAGAGTCTGAGCTGAAGTTTACAAAGCAAGGGAAGAGGGTTTCTTCCTCGCTGAAGACTACTGCATTAAACAGTATTCTTCTGAAGAAGGGTAATTAGAGTTTTACACTGTTTTAACTAGAATGATTGATCTGAATGCTGAGCATAATAAGGTAAGTCTTAAGAGCTAAATGTAGTGGTCAAAATGTGGCTGTGTTGCAGCTAAGTCATGCTGGCTGGGTTTTTTTAGGAGGTGCAATCTTCATGTACATCCCGCATCAGCTCTGGTGTGATGGAAAAGGCATATGCATACGCAGGTTTTTTTTGTTGTTTGAATTACTTTTGTCAGATTTCAGGCAGAGGAGAATCCTGATTGCTGAACTGGGTGAAAATGGCTGTCATTGCTAGCCTGAGTAAGCAGGTTATCTATCTGGGCAGACAGTTTCATGAGAATAAAATGCAAAGCAGTTTCAAAATTGATACTAATCTTAGAGTCCATGCTGTCTGGAGAGAACAAAAGCAGATCTAGTGGTAGAGCTGAGACTAACCATGCTGAAGCTTAAAGAGTTATCTTCCTTTTGAAGCAGTACTTTGAAGTCTGAAGTCTAAGTGTAACAGGAGGGACCACAGAAGTAGCAAGTCTGGAGGCAGACTTGGGCTAAGCTGAACTGCAAAAATAAACTGATGGAGTTGAGATAGGAGTAAGATGGAAGAGTAGATATGTTGGCAAACCTTTGTCACTTTACACAGACGTGCTCAGGAATGTTGGCTCTGGTAGATGACCAAGTCTGCAAGTGCTTCAGGAAGGCTTGAGCCAGGACTACTCAACCATTTGCTGTGTCAAGCCTGCTTGTTTGTCTTTGCTCAGTGTGGTGCTATCACTCAGACTATCAGCCCTTCACAGATTCCTTGGACTGAGCAGCCTTGCTTCAACATCAAGGGATGTCTGTGTGCTCATTGCTGTAGTCAATAGTGTCCAGCCTTGCTGACATCTCCTTTGGAGCTGGAGCTTGAACATGGATAGCAGTAGGGCGGAACACCCTAAGCTGTGCTAGTGGTACTTAGTGTGAGTACTGTCTGGGCTTCACTGGTGTGGCTCTTGGCTGAAGCCACTCAGTAGAATTGCTAGCATTAGGCCAGACCAGCTAAAGGGTAATTCAGAGCAGGGCTTACATCCTATCTGATCTATGGTTCCTGTTAGCAAACATAACATTTCAGTTATTGTTAAGACTGGAGTTTCATTGCTTTGTACGTTTCCAAATAGCAGAAGCAAGTTTTTGGTCTTTTGAATCTTGTGCATTTTGCTTATCTCCAACAGCCACTTCCTGAGAAGTTTGTGGTGAAGGGTGTTGTCGATCGCTTTTCTGAAGAGTTCGTGGAGACAAGGAGGAAAGCATTAGACAAATTCTTGAAGAGAATAACTGATCACCCGGTGCTTTCTTTTAATGAGCACTTCAATGTGTTTCTCACAGCCAAGGTAAGCTAGTAACTTCCAAACAGAGTCATTGACAGGGACAACAGAACAGGCACCTTTGCAGTCTCTTTTCAAATGAAGGTAAAAAAGCATTAATAAAATTACATGTGCAGGTCAGAACTTCCCCTAAAATACTAGAGAGTCATTGGGAACCCTCAATGTTGTGTGTGACAGACCCCTGTGTGGGACAACCATATGGGTTCCCTTTACTTGAAGGGAGGGATGGTGTGCAGGTTCTCCAGTCCTGCAATTCAGTCCTCCAGACCTGCTTGTTTTGTATCCCTGTGTCTAGAACATACTCCTCTGATGCAAGAGAGGTTCAGAATTTAGAAAATTGTAGACTTTGTAAAATCTTTTGGGGAGGAGGGAAGTGGGGGAGGAGGTGAGATCTGTCTTGCACCAAAGCTTGCAAATTTCTTGGCTGATTTCTTGTCTGTGCCTTCTACACTGCTTGCACTTGTTACCCTCAAAACTAAGCATGAAGACCTCATTTTTGTATGTTCTCGGTCAATAACTTCATGCTTGTCTTCTGCATGAGTCATCAGCAGCAGTGCAGTTTTCTTTGGCTGTCTTTTGAACTGTGCTTTAAATAAGACTAGGAGGACCTACAGTCATGCTTGGATTTGACCTGGTAAGTGAGGAGAGCTGTAAAATCACGTCTTCCCAATGTCACATTATGCTAGCTGACTCAAATGTGACACTTAATTTGGGCTCAGTTCAGGCTTGTGCTAAGCTTGCTGGTAATGTGAGTCTCAATCTCCAGTTCCCTTTCATTTCCCACCATGGTGAACTTAACCACTGAAACAATCCAGAAATGCAGAATTTGTTTAGCACCTTGATAGTTAAATATCAGACAACTTTGTTCTGCTTTTCAGCTGTCAAAGAATGATGCAACTTTCTTAGCTGCTTGGTTGCCTTCTCCCACTGCTGTAAAATGAATGGTAAGGGCTCTGTTCTCAGCCCCGGGCAGGGCTTGCCTTAAGAATACAGAGCATCCAGGAAGGGTGAAGGAAAAGGACATGTGTTCTTCTGGCTGTCTCTAGTGTTGGAACTTGCTGTATTGCAGCAGTGAGGTGTCAGTTCTGTGTGCCTAGGACTTCAGAATTTAGTTACTGCAGAAAGTCATGACACCGCCTCCTGGTTGAAAAAGATAAACCAACCTTTCTTTAAGTCCCTATTTGGACCAGTAAGACACCAGAATGATTGAGAGACGGAGTGAATAATTTTGAGTTAAAGAGTCTTTCTGATGCCTGCTTGCAGGTGATGCTTAGGACAGATGGACGGTAACAGTCAAGGAACCACTGTGTTTAAATGCAAACATAATTCAAAATTATAGTAGTTGCTAAGATGTCATGTTTTCTTAGTCAGACTTTGTTTGACTTACACATAAGTACTTGGAAAGAATACCATAGTACATCTTTTGAAGATGGCTGTAGTATTTTTTTGAAGAGCACTGTCCTGGTTTGGCTAAAACAGGACTATTTCTCCTTTCAGGAGTTTTTCTTTCAGTTAAGTTTCTTCTAAGCAACTGCACTTTCTAAAAGCGCAGCTACATGTTTTTCAGACACTGTCTGCGTTTCAGACTCGATAACGCTGGATGTGTAGAGTTGCTACTTGAAATATCAGTAGGATTGGTATGCAGAAAGGCCCATGTTTATACTTATCCCTCTGAGAACCAAGGCCACTGCTGACCCTCTTTTGTGAAGCAAGTAAAAAGTAGTAAAAGGGTCGCACCTGCGGACGAGTGCAGACGAGACAGGTGACCAAAAACTGACCAAAGAGGTATTCCATCCCATCCACGCATCCTCAGTATAAAGCTAAGGGATCACGAGGGCCTTGCTCTCTTCTTTCATGGCCGGCATCCCTGTGGGACCCTGCTCGCTCTCCTGCCTCCGACCCTGATCCGTGCATTCCTGAATCCGGTTCCTGTCGGCTGCGCAGTCTGGTCTGGGATGTCCAGGTGCCTGCCCTGCTGCAGCCGCGGATCGGCCTGTGGTTCCCCGACCGTCATCGGGAAACTCAGTATCGATTTTGTATACTTTTTATTTCCATTATTAGTAGTATCAGCATTAGTATCATTATCCTATTTTCCGTTATTATTGTGTTATTAAAGTAGTTTTAATTTCCAATCCATAAGTCTCTCTCCCTTTTCTCCGTCCCATCCCAGGAGCAGGGAGGGGTTAACAGAGAGCGTCTGCCGCCCCTTTTAAGAGCCGGCCCAGCCTTAAACCGTAACAAACACTTAAACTGTTAGTCTAGCCTGTAATACCATGTCTTGATTCTTGACCTCTAGAGGTCTAGTTGGTTTGAAGACATCTCTTCCTCAGGCTGCACAGGATAACCTCATAACTCTTAAGCCTGGTTTGAGATGTTGAATAGTGACCTCTGGTGGAAGGAGTAAAATGAAAATGGATGGCGTTTGGCTAATTAAAACCTTCTTTTTTTTTTTTTTTTTTTTTACCCCTGATGTGCTGTCAAGGTGAAATCCCCTGAAGATTGTAGGTAAACAGCCTTGTTAACAGAGGTTGTCTGAATATTAATTTATGCAAACATGCAAACAAAGCATTGGCAAGGAAGTTTAAGCTTTCTGTGCAGGTAACATAGCATCTGACCCAGCTTGACCCTCAGTCTGTCTTGCAGAGAAGCTGCGCTAGTCTCCCCATGCTGCGTGTTTTTCTGTGTACAGTCTTCCGCTGCCTCATTTTTAACCACAGAACTGGTGTGAGCAGGCTCCTGACCAAATAGGCATGCAATATGTAGCTCTGTACTAGGTTATCAGAGCCAGCTGGTGCATTTGCATAATACTGGTATTGTGGGCTATGACTTAAAAGTATGTGTGGATGAGTGGCATGAACAGTATTGGTGGAAACAGAGCTGTTCATAATCACTACTTCCCTGGTGACAGTACAGGAACATGGAAGAGTATGGCCATGTGCAAAGGTGGACCACATTTATAATGTACTCCCTACCATTCTCTTGGATAGCATATCTCCATCTAGAGATAGTCTTGTAGCTGTACTCCACTATACAGCTTGTACAAAGTGAGGTTTTGTCCAAGGCTACATGTCACGTATAGTCTCTTACCTTCACAAGATTTGATTTTGAATGGAAAATATCCTTCATTGTATTAATCTTCCAACATGCAAGTGAAATTTTTCTAAACTGTTTGGGGGTTTTTTTTGGTGTTTTTTTGGTTTTTTTTTTTAACTTTCTAGGATCTTAATGCCTACAAAAAGCAAGGAATGGCATTGCTGTCAAAGATGGGAGAGTCTGTCAAATATGTCACAGGAGGCTACAAATTAAGAAGTCGACCACTGGAGTTTGCAGCCATTGGGGAGTATCTAGACACATTTTCTCTAAAGCTTGGTACTATTGACAGAATAGCACAACGGATTATCAAGGAACAGTTGGGTAAGCACACAAGGTGCTCTATTATAATATAGATATAATATTATAACAGAATATA